ATAGAATAGAATAGAATAGAATAGAATAGAATAGAATTTGGAAGGGATCTTGGAGGTCTTCTAGTCCAACCCCCCTTCTTAGGCAGGAAACCCTATATACCACTTCAGACAATCTCTTCTTAAAAACTTCCAGTGTTGGAGCTGAGCACCCAAAACTTCTGGAGGCAAAAGCTGTTCTACTAATTAATTGTTCTAACTGTCAGGAAATTTCTCCTTGGTTCCGGGTTTCTTCTGTCCTTGATTAGTTTCCACCCGTTGCTTCTTGTTCTATAGCTTGACTCCCTCCTCTGTGTGGCAGCCCCCAAAGATACTGGGACACTGCTATCATGTCTCCCCTAGTCCTTCTTTTCATTTGACTAGACATACCCAGTTCCAGCAACCGTCCTTTATTATGTTTTAACCTCCAGTCCTCTAATCACCTCAGAAGACCTCTTCCAGCTCTGTTATTCTGTTCTGTCTTGGGTGGGGGGGGGGGGGGAATCAAAGAAAGTCCAGCGGCCTTTTGGGGGGGGGGAAACACTTTTGGAAGTCGCCTCTTCCCATAACCTTCATAAGAACCCTGTGAGGTAGGCCACGCCGCTATCCTAAGGGCACCGAGTGTGGTTTATGAAGAACATGAACCTATCTCTCTCTTCACTCTATGCCCGTCCCACGTTCCGTACTGGTCACACAACCTCCCTACTCTGAGGGCTGAGGAGCTATGGCTCCTTCTGCTCAAAGCCTTCCATCTCACAGACCAGGTTGTTTGAAGGCATCAGGGCCTCCTCTCTTATCTCCTCCTCCCCCCCCCCCCCCCCCACGCGCCCATTTTCCTTACGTGCGTCCGCTCCGGCGTAGTTGGCAAACAGGTTGGCAAGGAGCTTCAACGCTGACTTCTGGTAGAGGCCGACCACCGTTTCATTGAGAGGGTCCTTGTTCTTCTGGAGCCACCCTATGATGTTGTAGTCCACGGTGCCCGCGTAGTGGTTCAGGGCAAAGTGGGCCTCGGGTTTGCCCTTGATGACCCGCGCTTTGCCGAAGTTGGCCGATTTGCCCAGGTGGTTGTCGTAGAGCTTGGCCTTGAAGGTCATGTCGGTGGCCTTGGGGAACATGCATTCTTCTTCCAGGATGGACATGATGCCCATGGGCTGAAGAAGAAGAAGAAGACCAAGGTATTGCAACCTGAGAAGCTCTGTCCTTCAGGATCTCGCCGAGGGTTAACACGAATGGCGTTAACAGAGGGATAGAATCAAGGCCACGTCAGTCGTAATAGAGCAGGAAGGGACACTGGAGGTCTTCTAGTCCAACCCCCTGCTCAAGCAAGAGACTTTATCCAGGGGTCTTCAAACTTGACAGCTTTAAGACTTGAGGACTTCAACTCCCAGAATTCCTCTTCCAGTCATCTTAGCTCAGGAATTCTGGGAGCTGAAGTCCTCAAGTCTTAAACTTGCCAAGGTTGAAGACCCTTACGCTTACACCGTATCAGACAAATGGCTGCCCAATCTCTTCTTAAAAAGCCTCCAGTGATGAAGCATCCACAATTTCTAGAAGCAAACTGTTCCACTGGCGAATGGAATGCACTCCCTGACTCTGTAGTTACATCCTCAAACCCCCACTCCTTTAACCTCAAACCATCCACTATTGACCTCACCCCATTCCTAAAAGGTCTGTAAGGGGGCATGCATAAGTGCACCATCGTGCCTACCGTCTCTGTCCTATTGTCCCCATTTATTCGTACCTAATTCCTGTATTCTTACTCATGTTTATACTTATACCTATCATCCTGTAAGCGATTGACAAATCAAATCAAATCAAATCAATAAATAAATTGTTCTCACCATTAGGAAGTGTTAGCACCATTTTATAATGCTTTGATAAGACCACACTTGGAATGTGGCATCCAGCTTTGGTCACTACGCTACAAAAAAGATGTTGAGATTTTGGAAAGAGTGCAGAGAAGAGCAACAAAGATGATTAGGAGGCTGGAGGCCAAAACATTTGAAGAACGGCTGCAGGAATTGGGTATGCCTAGTTTAAGGAAAAGAAGGATTGGGGTGACATGAAAGCAGTCTTCCAATATTTGAGGGGCTGCCACAAAGAAGAGGGCGGGTCCGCCTAGTCTCCAAAGCACCTGACAAGAAGCAACAGATGGAAACTCGTCAAGGAGAGAACCGATCTAGAACTAAGGAGAAACTTCCTAACCGTGAGAACAATTAATCAGTAGAACAGCTTGTCTCCAGAAGATGTGGGTGGTTTTTTAAGAAGAGATTGAACAACCTTTGGCTGAAATGGTCTGGGGTTTCCTGCTGGACTAGAAAGCCTCTGAAGTCCCTTCCAACTCTGCTAATTCTGTCAAGGGTGCTGATGTTGGCCCTAAAGGCATTTGAGGAGTTCCAAAAGTTGGGTGCTACTAGCCCAACCTCTGATCCATCTTATAAGTCCAATATGGAACCATTCATTCCTCATATAAGATTTCCTCCTGGGTCTAGAGGGGTCCACCCCCCTCTGGCTGGAATCAGGAAAGATGAGCATAGATAGTTGAAAGAAGAAGGTGGCATGGAGAAGAGCGAGGTACCTTCTCAATGAGGTCAATGCAGGCCTGGAGGTCCATGCCGAAGTCAATGAAGACCCACTCGATGCCCTCCTTCTTGTACTCCTCTTGTTCCAGCACAAACATGTGGTGGTTGAAGAACTGCTGCAGCTTCTCGTTGGTGAAGTTGATGCAGAGCTGCTCGAAGCTGTTGTACTGGGAGGGGAAGTGGGGGAGGGGGGTGGGGGAGAGAAATCAGCCTTCCTGGAGGTGAACCTATTTCTGGAAGATTAGACTCTTTCAGCACAGACCACGATCAGTTAAGTCAGAGCTCCAGAAAATTAGTTCGACCTTTATAGGGCGCAAGTGAGTGGATGGATGGATGGATGAGTGGATGTGGAAGGAAGGGAGGAGGGTGGGTGGGTGGGTGGAGAGGTAGATGGATGGAAAAATGGGTGTGTGTGTAGATAAGTGGGAGGGAGGAAGAGGGAGTGGCTGGTTGGGTGGATGGATAGGTGAATGGATGGGTGAAAGGGAGGGACGTTGAATTG